AAATTGTGAAGGAAAGAGACGAAACAAAGGAGGGATGACAAAAACTGCTGCAAAAGGTTAGATTCCCATGATTCTCTGTGGCTGTTTAATGGATTCCTATGATATAAACAGACCTTTGGCCTTGCCTGCTGGGCAGGTGACCTCCAACTAAATGAGTTTTGACAGCGTTTCCTAATAAGAAATGTCCCTTTTCTCCCACACTCCACAAAGCCCCCGAGTATCCAGAGACCCACACTCCCCACCCCCAAACAGACAGACACGGTCAGCTGTGTGCGTCCGCCCACCTGAGAAGGCAGCAGGCGGCATGGCGTGGTCTGTCTAGGTGTGCATGCCTTTGTATCTGCAGCTGTAGCAATTTGACAAACATTTACTGAGGTGACTCTGCCGTAGGTGTCGAAAACATGGGGTTGGGGGGAAGACGTAGCCTCTGCCCTTGAGAAACTCACAGTTCAGGGGCAGGAGCTTTAACGTGACGGGGTGCGCGCTGGGGTGGAGACCCACAAAGAGGAATCGTGGAGGACGGCGTGTCTGCAACTTTCTGGAGAAGTCAGGGAAGGCGACGTGAGCTGAGACACAGTCTCTCTGACTGGCTTCAGGTTCTTCATCGGAAAAATAGGACTGACAAACGCACCTCCCTTGCAGGGACAATGTGACAATGAAATGTGACAATGTAAGTAAACACCTGATCCCAGGCCTGGCACGTGGTAAAGGCTCAGTGATGTCGGCCACTCAGAGCAGTATTGGCAGCGTTACTATGTCCCCAGTTGTAGGCATAAGTAACTAGCAATGGTTCAGTAAAGAACATTCTTTATCATTCATTTTCTAGAACCAAGTCCTGGCTTTAATGCTAGGCTAGATGAGTTCTTGGGGACTGCCTCCTACTGGCCAGGTGTGGAATTGCACCTCTGCTCTACTAGCCAACAGTAAGTGCTGCCTGCGTGAGCTGAGCATGGAGCCTGGGAAACTCAAATCTGGGAGACGAACCCATGTAACACGTGGAGAAAGCACAGGAAGATGCTGGAAAGGGCTGTGACGCACCCTTATGTTGAACGGGGCTTTGACAGACAACTACAATGCCCAGCACCACAGGGGCCTGACAACCCTCTTCACATCTCCTGTATGTTCTCAAAGAAGTCATCAGAGAATGATGACCGCCTCTGTTTTCCTGCTCTCCCTCACCGTGCACACGCACGCACACACACACACACACACACACACACACACACACGCACGCACACTCTGACAATGGCAGCTATAAAACAAAGAAAATTCATTTTACTGAAATTCATGTTAGAGCGAATCTGCCTGGAAAATTGGCTCAGTGAACACTCCCTGCCATTTCCTCGTCAGGCAAGCGCAGTATATTCCACAGAAAATTTCTCAACTATCTAGAGCAGACTTCCCAGCGGAACTTTCCGCGATGATGGAAATGTTCTACACTTGCTCTGTCCGATACAGCACCCGCTGGCTCCACGTGGCCAGTGAGCACTTGAAATGTGACTAGTCCGACCGATGAAATGAATTTTTAATTTAATTTGATTTCATGTAATTTAAATTAAACATCCGCATGTGACTAGTGTCTACCATATTGGACAACCCAGACCTGGGGGCTCGGATCACATACACTTTCTTGAGTCAATTTTTCTAGTTTTGGCATCTTCTTCTACAAATTGGCATAGTTCTTCCCCACTTGGCCAGACCAAAGGGCAAAGTGTCCAGGACTCAGGACTCTGCCACTTCCTCCCAAGCACCTTCCCCTCCCTCAAGGGGTCCATAGGTAAGACCTTCCCAAATGTTCAGTCAGGGGTCTCATTAACCTTTTGCTTCAGACAGTTTCACAGCTCCCCCCAGTTTACCCAAAGACTGCAATCCACTCATCGTGTTTTCTGAAAGCTCAGGATGACCCCATTGCTAAGATAATGTCTTTAGGACCAGAGGGGAGGCTGCTGGGCTTTATACACGTTTTGGGCCATTTTGTGCCTGCTGGGCTGAGTGGGCAATGGTGGCCGCGTCACAATGCCCTGCTTTTCCCTTCGAGCGGGATTGGAGACAGTCCTGGCTGGGCCTGTGTGATCTATTCATTTCCTTCCAAGCTGGGCTCTGTAAGCTCATTCACTATTGCGAGCTGGGAAGGGAAGCAAGTGGCAGGGGAGGGGGCCAGGGAAGCAGGCCCTGGGGGCCTGTCTGGTAGAGGTGGTGGGGGTCAGAGGAGGGTCTGGCTGGAGAAGGAGACTGGAGCACCCATTGCTGCTTCTCCGGTTCCCTCCAGGAGCCCTGCCCTGGCCTTGGCCCCCGGAACTCCCGTGGTGGTAGGCTCTTATCTCTCTCCCTTCAGCTGGCTCCTTGGGAGAAGGGGCATCGGCAGGGAAGGACAGAGTGGCAGCGGGCAAAGGGAAAATTGGCAGCAGGGAGCCCCTTCCCTGGAATCTCTTTCTGCCCTCTGCCCCCATCCTCACAGGCAGGGCACGCGACTGCCCTGGTCCCAGGGAGAGTAACCAGTCAGCTGAGCCACCACCTCCGTCCAGCTACAGAATTACAAGGGCCCAGCATTTGGCTCCAGCGGTTGATTTGCATGTGATTTGCATACATCTGCATATCCGGCTCCAGAGGCCCTCAGTCAAAGGATGTGAAATGAAATAAAATAAATTAATTAGTGCAGCCTACCATAGCCCGATATGCAGGGCCCGACACCCGTAAGAGATGCCACTGATTCTTAAAATAATCAGTGGGGTGGCAGGCTGGGGCGGAGGGAGCGATGGCGCTGGGGGTGGAGGAGGAAAAGGAGCCTCGTTCAGCCCGGGACAGGGCGTGCTCCTCCTGCCCCGGCCCTGCTCCCCATCTTCAGGAACGGAGAGTCACGCCACGTGGAAGCCTGCGCCTGGCTTCCCACACCTGGCCCAGCCTGGCCCCGGCCTTGCCCCCGCAGGGAGGTTTTCACCCCAGTGACTGCAGTAACGTTCAATTTCAAACCGGAGCTAGGACAGCTGCTTCAGGAGCTTGGAAGGCAACCAGGTGCCCACTGCTGCTTTCCCATCTCCAAGCTCCCACCTTCACCCCCTTTTACTGTTCCCACTGCGTCTCCACATTTCTGTCTGTCGTCCCCCCTCCCTCTGATCCCCTCTCGGGGCTGGTGGAGGGAGAGATGTGTCCCATCGCCAGCGAGCTGCAGTTAATTTATCCCTGTCCTTCTGCCAGGTGCTAATGAGATGCTCGCAGCCTGTGTCAGCCAAGCAGTTTCCATATCCTGTAAATACGCCTCTTAGTGATTCAGTTCGCGGCACTATTTAACATACGCCTTGACTTCCTCTAGGCGCATCGGCTCTATCTGGGAGGGCACCTTCCTCTAAGGCCGGGGCCCTGCCGGGTGCAAGACATCAGCTTCATACGTGATGTCCAGGTTACCTGGAGAGCGTGGGTGGAGGGCACTAGAATTGATTCTAAGCAGGAAGGGGCTGCAATACTGAGATGGGGAACCATGATTTTTGGTTAAAAGGAGTGTAGATCACAGCCAAAAAAACCCAGCACCAACCAGCAAATGATAAGTCAAAGACCAAAAATGCAAGACGGAGCAGCAGCGACAGGCTGCTTCAAAGCACATCTGGACCGAGAGCAAGGAGGCCGGGGAGAGCGGTTCTGAGTCAGGACCATGAACAGCACGCGTGCCCCAGGGATTCCTCTGACACCGAGTTTCCACGCACTGAGGGTAGATGTGGGGGCAGCTCCGAGGAGCAGAGGGGCCAGCTCTAGATTTCAGATCACCAAGCCGTGCCCCCTCCCCTCCCCTCCCTCCCTCCTCCCCTCCACACGCCTCCCCTCCATCCAGAGCGGCTCCAGTGGACTGTGTTATCTGTCGAAGAAAGGGCGATGCGACTGACAGAGATTAGAAAAGTGTGGTTTTAGATCAGGGATTTGCAAACTGCTGCCCGTGAACCCAATCAGCCTGTGACCTGCTTTTGTACAGCCTGCAAGCTAAGAATGAGTGTTCCCTTTTTTAATGGTTGAAAAAAAGCAAAAAGAAGAAGATTTTGTGACACATGAAAATTACACAGATTTCAAATTTTTGGCGTCCACGATAAAGTTGCATTGGAGCACAGCTGTGCCCTTCCATTTATGCACTGTCTGTGGCTGTTCTGCAGCCGCAACAGCAGAGTTGAGTAGTTTCAGCAGAGGGGACGATATTTGCAATCTCAGCCTTCACTAAAAAGTGTTGCCGACCCCTGTTTCAGATGATGGAAGGGGAGTTCTCTCCCAAGATGGTGGTACCACACTCCGCACCCTGAACACGGCATAGCAAGAAGAGCATCAGTGCCCACCGGACCTTTTCTTGAGCCCAGCCCCGCCTGCTCTGTGGCAAAGAGAGACCAGGCTGCGATGCCCCATCCGGACACTGGATGATTTCTCTCAGTGGCTGAAAAGGCCCCTGTGCCCAAGACCCAAGGCTGTTCTTCCTGTTGCCCACACCTGGGCCCTGGGCAAGTGGGCACCTGCTCATCTCTAACAACATCTCTTCTCAGACCTGGATTCAGGGTGCCAGACCTCAGGGTGAGTCCTACAGTAGTCAGGTTAGGTGGCAGACTAGCTCTATAATGTGATTTCAAAGGCAAGAAGCCTCCTGTTTCTCTCTCTTCCCTGCCAAAAACCTTACCCAAAGCATCATGCCTGAAATTCCACCACCGGATGTTGCTCAGTGGTTACGCTGCGACCGGCGCCCACAGCGGGCTCAGTAACTCGTGCTTTGGTACCAGTGGGGTTTCCCAAGAGCAAGGGCACGTTAGGAGCACAGAGGAGGCCAGAACAAGATCCGTCCTGAGGACAGAAGAGGAGACTGGCCTAAGGGGTCTTTGAGGCAGGTGTCAGCAGCAGGTGGGGGCCTGGCCCAGGGCTCAGGGCTGGGTGGGGGCGGAGGACAGAGCCACGCTGGTGAGGATGTCTGGAGGGTTCTGGGGACTCTACTGCCAGCCCCGGCCATGGGCATGGAGGGGGCAGTGGTGGCAACTTACCCGGTACCACACGATCTCTCGCATGCGACCGTCCGTCTTGAAGTTACACTTCAAGGTCACGGCATCCCCAGCCACCACAGGGGGGAGTGGCTCAATGTTGACTGTCAGGTACCCTGCGGAAGAGAGGAGAGAGGGGAGGTGAGGACGTGAGCGGAGCGGGAGGGCCGGGCTGACCAGCGCGGGCAGGCAGACAGGGGAGGGAAGGTGGTGGGAGGTGGTTGCACACCTGACAGGGACCCTGTTCGCACCGTGGTCTCTGGGGGTGGTGACTGTGTGCCCAGGGGAGCCAGTCACCCCATCTTGCCTCTCCCTGACATCTCCCTTTCTGCCACCTCCCTGGCTCCAGCGGATCCCACCAAACAAAAACACTTCTTGGGACAAATTTTCCCTGCTGGCACCTCCAGGAAGTGGCTCAGTGCATTTCTACAGGGTACCCCAGGGAAGCCTTCTGTGGCCCCACACGGCACCTCCATACACTCTTTTAGAGAGTCGTGACATTATTAGCCTGTTCGGTCCTGCCGGAAATGAATGTGCTAACATGCACCCACCCCAGCACATCCAACCCTAACCAAAATGGGTCCCTGAGCCACCCCTTAAACCCCGTCACCACGCCATGCAGCCAGGCTTGTGAAACCCACGCTGGGACACGCAGTTCTAGGTGCCCACACCCCTCCGTCCCCAACCTCATAACCAAATTCCTCCAGGTAAAAAGGGAAGAGGGCCCTGGGAAAACGCCATTGGCTTCCTTAATGCCCAAATTTCCCATCACACATACACGGCCACCCAGAGGAACGGACAGGTCCAACCCTTGGCCACGGTGGTGGTGACAGTGGAGAAGGCCCTTATGGGCCGACTGCCGGGGAGGAGCCTCAGATCTTTGCAAACACTAGACAATGCTCCTGCCCCCGCCCCCACCGCCACTGCCTCGGCTGCCCCTGGGAAGGCCTGCCCAGCTCCTGTCCAGCTCCCCGGACCACAGCCCTGGTAGCCACACCTTGGGGACTCTGCTGCCTCCACACCTAAGTCCAGCCTCTTGAGGCCTCTGACCTGCTCCTCTGTCTCCCGCAGCCCCACCCCCGAGGGCTGGGCACCCAGGCCAGATCGGCAAGGGACCGTGTTCTCGGCCATCATGCTGGTTCCTCTGATGGGCTTCCCGCTGGCTGACGTCTGGCCATCGATCCAACGGATCAATCCGGGCCGATGCTCTTAATGAGCAAACTAGCCAGGATGGGCCTGGGGATTTCAATTGCGCAGGCAGCCCCAGCGGTCGCGCCCGGGGGCCCGACCCCTGCCTGGAACTTAATGGTTGCAACACTCCAGGAAAAAACACAAACAAGAATCGACCTGGAGAGGATCAATTCGGAAGTGGGAGTCGGAGTAGACCCGCGTGGTGCGGGCTTCAGGACCAGTCCCCAGAGTGAGGCGCAAGGCACCGGGTTGCCCCAGGGCAGGCTCCAACTCAGGCCAGAGGTCAAGTTCCTAGATAGCCCCAGGGCCCAGCTGACCCGAGCAGGCCGCCACCCGGCCAACTGGAGGGACCGATCTTCCGCCCTCCCTTGCCTTGGTCATTCGATCCCCGCTCACTCCACCTGCTCCGGGCAGGCCCCGGGCAGGCGCTGGGGAGCGGAGACACCCAGGCGCACCCTCCAGGAATGTGCAGTGGAGGAAGGCAGGGGCCGTGGGAGGGGACGAAGGAAACATAGGGTTTCCTGGGCTTGGGGCGTGACACACACAGAGGCCGTCTCCGGAAGATGCACCCCAGTGACGGGGGGGACTCTAGGGCCACATCAGCTCCCGTTCCACACCTGCCCTGCGCCGGGCCCTGGGCTGAGTGCCCGATACGGCACACATCACTCACTCAATCATCACGACAATCCCAGGAGAAAGGATCTATTATCATTCCCACGTCGTGTGGGGAAACAGAGAGGCGAAGCCAGATCACACAGCCGCAAGGGACAGAGCCGAGATTCAAACCCAAACCTCCCGGCTCCATGACAACCACCACACTATTATCGCTGCTCTCGTGACAAAACAGGTGACAGAAAGTGTGGCAAGCATCTCACGTCTGTCTGCAGCCTGTATACCTTTTTCACCCAGCGCTGGGGATGGGGGGTGGGGACGTTGCTGGGGGGACCATGACAGGAGTCAAGGACCTGACCCCGCCGGCCACAGTTCCGAGCCAGGGTTTTTTTTATTTTTTATTTATTTTTTTATAGAGACAGAGTCTTGCTCTGTCACTGCAGCCTCGGAACTCCTGGGATCATGAGATCCTCCTGCCTCAGCCTCCCAGAGTGCTAGGACTGCAGCTGTGAGCCACCGCGTCCAGCCGACTCTCTCTGAAGACAAGAGACGAGAGCTGAGCATCAGCTGTCCAGGTGGTGGAGGAGCCCCACGCTGGAGAAGGGCCCCTCCCACTGGAAGGAGGAGGGTAAGATTTATTCTCAGAGGCGTAAATCTTGGAGCAGCCCAAGGTGGGTGCAGATGGTGTGTGTGTGTGAGGCGGGCCAGGGCGCGCGGAGAGTCACCGTTTGTTGGCAAGCCACCCGGGAATGACAAGTGTGAGTCTGGCGGGGGGCGGTGCAGCTTGGTAGGCAGGTGGTGGTGTTAGGAGCGCCGACCGGTGCAGCGAGCTGAGGCCCGGGGCAGTGGGATTCGCAGGGCATGCCAAGGTGAGGGCAGAGAGCCCTGCACAGGTGAGGGCAGGCCCGTGGGCATGGGAAGAGGAGTATGCGAAGGCAGGTGCACAAGTGGGGTGGTCCTGACAGGTTAAGGCAAGACAGCTTTTCCCAGAGTGTGCAGAGAATAGGGAGCTTCTAACAGGTATTTCAGGCAACATGATTTCTACCATCGACTAATTTTGAGAAATATTGGGTTAAACAAAATTAAACCTGCTCCTTCCCTTGAGGACCTCTCAGAACTTTCCTCTCTTTCCTTCTTCATGTCCTTCCTTTATTCATGAAAAAATATTAATTGAGAATCTGTTCTGTACCAGGCACTGCTCTAGGCGCTGGGGACATGACGCTGATAACAGACACATCCCAGCCCTCACGGAGCTGACTTTCTAGCAGAGGAAACCGTATCTAATAAACGACGGAAAATAGGTCAGGTGGTGATAAGGGAAACGCGATGAATAGAGCAGAGCAAAGCAGTGGGGGCCCCCCAAGGCCTTTATGAGGAGGCTGGAATAAAGGAAGATGTGAGCTATGGGGGGATCTAGGGGAGAGCATTCCAGACAGAGGACACCTCAAGTGCAAAGGCCCTGAAGCTGGAGCGTGCGCAGACTGCCCGTGACTCTCCAAGCTCGGACCATGGTGGAAAACTTTTCCTAGCATCTTACATACACTCTGGAGCCCGTCTTTGGTGTAGCAGCTTGTAGAACCTGAGCCAGGAAAGGGAGTGAGGAGGGTCAGGCAGTGAGGTGCCAGGGCGCTACATGAAAGAACGCACTCACCCCACTGCGCCACCCTGAGAGCGAGCGGCTCCCTAAATGCTGCGCCCCGTGCGCCTGCCTCCCCTCGCCCCAGCCTCAGCCCTGCTGGAGTCCTGGGAACAAACACCCGGAAACACGCCTACAAATGGAGGCAGGGGGATGCCAGTTTGGAGCCACGGAGGGCAGGGGACCGGAGAGGCGGCTGCAGCTGGGCGCCTCCTTCTCAGTGCCACAGGCAGCCGAGGGGCAGGGCTTCCTGGCTGCAGAGGAGGTCGGAGACCTCAGCTCTCAGGGTCAAAAACTCCTTCCCCAGGCACATGGTGCCTCCGGTTTCCCCAGCACTTTCACTCCCGTGTTTTGCAGCCCCTCGTTCAGCAACCTGGGCCTCTTACGACACCGTGATTATAACGTACGTCACACCAAAGTGTCACTGTCTGCACGTCTGCCTCTCTTTCTGGAATCTGAGTTCCATCAGTCTCAGTCCAGTGTTTAAACAAGAATACGGTAAGTGCTACTTTCCGAGCTGTCTTAGACGCGGGCAGTTTGGGTCCCCACATCCGCCTGTGAATCAGGTACCATAAATATTTCTCCGTCGCAGAGAACTGCCGTCCAGAGCTGGGAAGCGCCTGGTTCCCCACCGCGTGGGTAGAGCCAGTCCAGGGTCGGAACCTAGAGCCGTCGGGCTCCAAAGCCATCTCCTGCCACCACCCTGAGTGGAGTCCTACGACTTGCGGAGGTCACTGGGGAATCAGAGTCGCAGCTCCGTCGGGGGGCGCCATTGCATCTTTGCCAGGGGCCTGGCTCTCCCAGGGGGCAGGGCAGCCGGCGCAGGGGCCAGGCCAGGTGAGGGAGGCGAGGACAGACCGGAACTGCACAGGGAGCCATGGGAACCACAAACAGAGAGGCCTGGGGGTGGGGCCGGGCCCGAGTGCGAGCTGGTGGGTAGAGGGGGACCCCACCGCCCCAGGGCTTGAGCTGGGTGCTCCTGGGACATTCCTTCCCCAAGGCCAGGACAAACATCAGGCCCCTACACCTCAGGTCCGCAGGTGGGCTGCCTGCCAGGGGAGGGTGGGAGGACGCAGGGATCAAGGTGATTTTCCGACAGATGTTCCAGGTGAGGCTTATGGCAGCACCAAGCAACACCTGGATCACAGGTGACATCGCCTTCCCAGGGTTCAGACATAGCCAAGGAGTTTTTTCCAAAAGAAAAACGTAGGAAAAGTTCTATAGGTCCGACTAATACTCCTACGGCTCTTATTTCACAAAATTTCGTTATCTTCCAAATACCCTGCACTGATTCCTTCCCTGAAAATTCCCCCTGCCACCCGACCGCCTTCTTCCCAGCTCCCCACCCACCAGCCTCCCCCAAATTTGAAGTCAGTCAATAGGTTCAAGTTTTTCTCTCTGCCACTCTGTAGTGACCTGGGCAAGTTACGAGACCTCGGTGGGACTCAGTTTCCTGACATGTCACGTGGACACAGGCACGATCACAGACTCCAAAGCAGTGACACATGGTCAGGGGCTCTGCTCATCAAAGCTCTGCCCCGACAGGAGGACGTCCCGAGCTTCCTGGCCCCCCAGCCTCTACTTCCTCCTGCGTTCCACTGTCCAGTCTAGGAAGGACGGTCCCAGGATAATGGTGGGACTGACATCTGGAAGCTGGTTGGTAGGAGGAGAAGATTCAGAGACGACCAGCTCAGCCAGACATCCCAGCTGGGGGCCAGGTCAGGAGACCCACTCGGAAGCCTCCTCCAAGGCAGAGGAAATAAAACTAAAGAGGGGAGGTCCGAGAAGGCCCCTGATGCCCCGACTCTCCAGAGGGGTGTTGCTGAATGGCAGCCCCCAGGTTCTCGCCTCCTCCTGTGGAGCCTCCGGGCAGCAGAGCCGGCAGGGGTGGGGGAGACGGGCTCATCGGCCAGCCGGCAGGTGGGGAAGAGCAGTGCTGCCACCAGCCCTGGGACCTCGGGCAAGTTGTCCCTCTCTCTGGGTCTCAGTTTCCTCATCTGTAGAATACGGGGGAACTGGATTTTTGGGGCCTTCCTGCTCAACTAATTCCACGTCAGATGCTAAATGAGTCCGAACCTGGGTCTCGCCACGGAGGCCGGAAGCAGAGGCGACGCTGCCACCTCCCTTCCCTACAAACTCGATGCCAGTCCTGGGAACCCGCCAATTACTCAGCCACCAGCTAAGACGGAGCTCTGTCTTTCCGGGCATTAAATTTGCCACCAATCAGCCTGGACGCACGAGCCCCCCTCCGAGCGCGGTATCGAGAAGCAGATCACGAGTGGAGACGGATTCGTCTTAACTAAGCAGTTCATTATCCCGAGTGGCGCCATCACTCTCCCCTCTATCTCTGACAGCGTTTACACCACTCCCGTTAAGACGCATTTAGCAAAATCGCAGGCAATATTTAGGAACCAGGCACCCTCCTAACAAGGTGATGACAAATTGCTGCTCCGCCCGGAAACTCGCCTGGCGACATCCCGGCATCGCTCCTCTCCCCTTTCCCGGCTCAGAGGGGACGTGTCCAGAGGGCGGCTCGGGTCTAGCCCCCGCATGGATGGGGTCAGTGGGGGATTCCAGGGGAGGCATACAGGCCTGCCTTGATGCAGGAAAAGGGACATCAATTATCATGGAGAGACCACAAGTCCTGGTCTGCCCAGGGCCGAGGGGTTTCCTGGGACAAAGGACTTTCAGTGTG